AACAAAGTTGAGGGCAAGCTGGTAGGGGTCATGGAGGCTCAAGAGGTCAAGGTCAAACGAGTACTGTGGGCGACTAGGCTCTAGTTTTTACCATCATCCAACAAGATGCTTAGGGATCCACCGTTGTTGAGTCGGCTATCCTTCATGTCTTTTCTTATGATGCAAGTGGTACTGTTCGATTAAAGGACCACCCTTTTTTTTTTTTTGTCATTGTATTTTTCTAAGAGATTCAATATGAGTCTATGTGTGTTAGAGCGATCTTTGATGATTTCAACACCAATAGAAGAATGTATGATAACCGATTTGATTTATAGGAACTATGATTTATGGGTGATGGATAAAAATTTACTTGTAGATTTAATATTCTTATATATGAATGATTTTGATGTAATTTTAGAAGTGGATTGGTTAACGAATTATCATGCTTTATTAGACTACTATAATAAGATAATGTATTTTAGTAATCTAGGAGAAGATGGATTTTCTTTCTAAGGAGAGCGAAGTGTAACCTCTTTAACCTAATATTTACCATTAAGACACGTAAGACGATGAGAAAGGGGTGTGTGGCTTATTGGCATTTGTGAAGGACACAAATGATAATGTGGTTAGTTTAGATCATGTCCTAATCATTAAGGAGTTTTTTAATGTGTTTCCGGACGAACTACTTAGTCTACCTTTAGATAGAGATAGAATATTGTATTAAATTGCTACCATGTACTAAACCTATCTCTATACATCTCTATCATATGGCACCAATTGAGTTGAAAGAGTTGGAGGTTTAGCTTCGGACTTATTAAATAAAGGTTTTATCCGACCTAGTGTTTCTTTGTAAGGTGCTTCGGTTTTGTTTGTTAAGAAAAAAAGTATGAGTTTAAGGTTATGTATTGAATATCGTTAGTTTAATGAAATGGCTATGAAAAGTAGATATCCATTACCAAGGCTCAACGACTTGTTTAATCGGTTATAGGGTGTAAAATATTTTTCCCAAATTGATTTAAGGTCCAAGTAACATTAGTTGAGGATCGAGAGAGAGGACATTCCTAAAACTACTTGTAGGACATGGTATGACCATTATGGATTTTTGGTGATATTATTTGGCCTTATTAATGCTTCGGAAAAACAATTCATGCCTAGTATTATATCAAAATCCTTAATACTAAGCATTATTAAGTTTATTTTTATTGACCTCTCTCCCTTCATAAGCTCGCATCCCCTCACCAAGTTCCTATACTCCATTATATCCCCAGTTGTAACATTATTTCATAAATAGATTCTAATATTTTAGATTTAACATCTAATCTTCTTACTAAAGACCTTAATATAAATGAGTTTGTTGCTCCCGAATATATCAAAGTATATGCAAAGAGTACGAGAGATTAAGAAATTGCCATAAATTATTGCTACATCATTCTGTTTGACCTATTTTTGAATTAGAGTATACACTCGAGCTACTACTCTTCGATCACCTCCGGTTCTCTTAGGACATTGATTGGCTATATACCCCGGCTCCTTACACCGGTAGTAGGTGTTAGTACCTATTAAATAGTTTTCAAGGTACATCCTTCCGGACTTGACACATGCCACTTTGTTAGCTTCATTCCTCTTTGATGTACCATCATCTCCCTTAACTTTTTTAATCCGGGATGAACTCCTAACCTTCACCGAAAAGTTAGGCCTCGACCTTTTCATCCGAAATTCTTATATAATCTTTTTTTGGTCCTCTTCGACTATCAATGCTCGACTAACCATGTCATTATAAGTGACAACATAAGACATATGCACCATGCTCTTAACTCGGAGAGTGAGTCCTTATAGGAACTAGTCTTTCTTCAACTTACGGTCCCTAATAATGAATGGGACAAATCGGCTCCCATGCTCGAGCCGATTGACATACTCTATCACGATTATAGTTTCCTACCTTAAATCAAAAAACTCTTGCACCTTCTTAGATTTTACATCTATAATGAAATACTTAACAAAGAAGATCTCTTTGAAGTGTGCCCATGTTAAGTTAGGTAGGTCTAAAGGAACCTTAGCAACATCCCACCAAGCACTTATATCTCGAGGCGACAAAAACATAACTCCCATCATTTGATCAAAGTCTTCCATCCCAAGATATTTAAAAATAACTTATAGAGATTTGATCTAATCTTCAACAACTATAGGATTAGTGTTTTCCATAAACTCCTTCGGATTCAACTTTTAAAATTTCTTCATCATGTCACCTCTCCGATTTTGAGGCCTTTGGTCCCTCTCGCTATCGCAGGGCCAATAGTTGTCTTATATGCTCCTAATGTTATTCTTGCTACTACTCCATCATATCTAACATAGGCTACATCAAGGCTTCATTTCCGCCTCTACCCGTTCCCCACTACCATTTCCAACCTCGGTGTCTCTCATTCTTTTTAGAATTATTCTATCATATTATCATTCATTATTAGTTTAAATTTTTAAAATCCTTTCACATAGTGCTCATCATAATATTTAAATCAAGATAATACTCAAATATTATTTATACATATCATACCCATATTTTATCTTAGTTATATACAATATATATAAAAAAAGAAATCACTTACTTGTTGATGTTATCGTCGGACCTCGAACTCATGTGTGCCATCATACGTCAAACGTTTAATACTTATTTATTCATTCCAAAACAATCAATAATTTTATTTTCTAATCAAGTACAAAAAATCTATTTTACTCGATATCAAATTGTAACGCCCATCAACCGAGACACCTAAGTTGAAAGGTCACGATCGAAAGAGTTGATACTAAAACTTATATCTTTTTAGTTTTTTAAAAAAAAATTATGTTCCTAATTTAATCTTAATTATCTTTAAATATGTCATTAATAATATATAACCATAATATTTTTTTATTAACATAACGGAAGCATTATTTTAAAATTTCATCATTTATAAAAACATCTATTACCATAATTAATATTCTTAAATAATCTTGTCCTAATATTCATACTCAAATTCTAAGTAAAAATCTTCAACATTCATAAGTTTAACATCCTTATATTTATTATTTTTAAAATAAATATTCATTTAAAGCATAACCTAATTGTTAGGGATACGCAAAGGTAGGCACATGAGTCACTAGTCACCGAGAGCAACATCAACATCCTCAACATTTGCATCATTATCTACACAACAAAACAGATGTGAAATATAAATATCTTAATAAGTGTAACAAGTATGATGTTACTTTAAAAAAATTTACACATGAATATCTTTAAAATCTTTTTCCTCATTTGGGCTCACTAAAAGATACTAACACTAGTTAACGGGATCTAGACTCGATAAAAAAACATGTATAAAAATATTAACCTCAACATTTAATAGTCGAACCTCAACCTTTAACTCTCAACGTTTTATACTTCGATAGGCAACTTCAATTTTTAAATCTTAACATGCATTAAAACAATGACCTCATTCATTTACTTATAACATTTTCTTTTAATCAACATATAAAACATATGTATGCATATGAATGCACCTCAATACCATCACATCATATCACATCAACCATATAAAAACACATAGCATTTATATCTATGATGTAGGTGAGTTACACTTATCCGATTCACTTAAGAACATCGTTTATCATAACTTTTTTTCCAAATCGGTACCTCGACTTGATTCAATACCTTAAACATACACACCTTGTAACAAAAGAAATTGAATTTTATTATTTCATCTCTAATCATTGAATTATTATTAATTCCTATTCTTTTTTTGTAATTTCTTTTAAATTAAAAATCCCAATTAAATCACCAACTCCAATCTAATTTATTTAATTTTCCTTTAATCATATTCATATAATCTAATATTATTAAATTTTACCTTCACATTTTCAATTCTTATTTAAATACACTTAATCATCAAATATTCTTTAAAAATTTAAAATTTTAATATTAGAATATATTTTTTATATAATCAATCCTAAATTATGAAATTTTCAACTAAATCTTTTTTTAAATATATTTGACTTCACTTCTCTCTCTCTCTCTCGAAGTATAAGCTTATAAAATGGCTCTTAAACAAGAAAAATGACACCCCATACATATGCATAAGAAGTTGAAACATTTGAGAATATTAAATGCATAAATTAAAAAAATTAAAAACCCACTAACTTTCTTCTTTTATGACAACTTTTATGACAACTAAATAGCTTTCTTTCATAACCATTTTCTATGCTTTTATGACCACTAATCTTTTTCTTTTATGATCACTTTCTTTTCTTTCATGCCATTCACGTCTGTTCTTTAATTTAATATATGTTTTAAAACTTTTGCTCTCATTTCATATCCACTAACATTCCATTTAAAAAATCATTAAAACTTATTATTATTTCATTATTATTTTATTAATTATTAATTATTATTTTTATTATTATTGTATCTATTATTATTAATAGTATTTTAATTTTTTAATTCCTAATAACCTAGCCTTAAATTGTAGGACTAGTTCTTATCTATAAAAATACAATCTATAATACCCAATATATATATATATATATACTAACATTCCATACCTATTCATCACATACTCTAAACACATAAAAATATTAAACTGAATACACAAATAAAACATTTTTTTTTTTTTACTCACACACCCAAGGCTTTTAGCAAAACTTGTCTGCTAGAATTTGAATCCATTACCTCTTTTTGCAAGAGATCACTACTACTGAGCCACAAACTCTTTGGTACAATTAAAGCACATTTATACACATATACACACAACATATCATCATGCAAAGTTTTTGGATACTACAATTCTAGCCAAAACTGCTTTCCTTCTCTGGGATGCATAGAAAAAGTCATCTTCATTTCTCTGTAGCATCTGTTCTAGGGCATGAATTGTAAGCTGAAACCAAATATGTTAGCATTTGACTGAGATGATGGATTATGACAAAAAACAAATGAAGGAGAACAACCATACTTCCAAGTGCATACTTGAAGATTATCAAAGAGCAACGGGCGATAATCATTGGTTGGCCACATTTGTTGATTCAGACCCAATATGGCTGAGATGAACTTGCTGGGGCAGGAGGTAGTATTTTATATTTAACTCTTCAAACATTTTCTTTATTTCAATGACCAGTTCCGACTTCCGCTTGTTTTTCTCTCCATATTCTTGGAAGTTCATCGTGTGAGTACAATAAAGACCCATCTTTAACTTGTTCACATTCTCAATTTCCTTCACCACAACACTGTGGTTAGGATGCCAGTGATGAGGAGTTTTCTCCAAGTGCCTAACCAAACGAGGAAACCGTCAAAAAAGAATAATGAAAGCATATAGATTCATTTAAAAAGAAAACTATGTCAAGATCCTCATTCACTCAAAGCGATTCCTCTTAACTAATTATGTTGAATTAAAGCTAATAAATGATTTAAACTAGCTTATTTAGTTTGACAGAGAGCAACACTAATTCCTCAATATATGCTTCGCCGTAACACAATTGCTAAATAAAACAGTGCATACTTAGTAACTCCACTTTCACCTTCTGATCCTGCAATAAGTATCCCATCACCAACCAATTAAAGAAATTGCATTTGGCTTCCTCGCTTAGTAGGACACGTTAACAAATTCTCTCTTGACCAAACAAGGGTGAGCCAGAGTCTGGCAGTACAGAGGCTCTTTTTTTATTCAGCAGCAGTAATAAATAAGGTTTACAAGCCTCATTTACTATGTCGCAATTAGAGATCATAAAAATGCTACTTTTAAATTCTTAAGCCAGGGTCACACACTGTTATTCTATACTCTACTCAACTAAGCTTTGCTATCTAACTGGGGTTTGCTTCCACCAATTCATCATGATCTCTCGACGGAAAGAGAAATATTAATTATGGGAAAAACCTTCTCCCCTAGCAATTTTCTGTTGATGCACCTAAGGAACCGCAGTTTCAAAGAACAATATCAAGCATCCTGTCTTGAGAATAATGTAGGGAAGTAAACGAAAGAATACAGTATTGTGTATGGGGAACTGGAAGAAACTACAAGTATGCTAATATTGATAATTTGACAAACAGGAGATTAAAATTCAGTAGCATTTTTTATCACTACACAACCCTCTGCACAACGTAAATTCACTTTCAAACTATTTTCACACCCAAAACTAATTAAACATGGGTGTATCAGGTAAAAACAATGACAGTCCACAGTAATCATCTTGGTAGAACTCATATTAATATCACATGGATGGATGCTAAATGCAAGGAAGAAATGTAGCTATAATCAACTTACTTCTTAATTTTATCTTTCAGCAATCCAATCTTCTCCACTGGTGTTGCAAAATCAATTGCAAATTCCACACCATCACCCATATCTGGGCTTCTGAAGTAGTTGCCAATAGGCTTGGTAGACAAAACTGAATTTGGATAGTATATCTTTTCATTATCAAGCTTCAAAAACACAGTATTTAAGATGTTCATTTCTTCAACCAACAGCTGTTAATTAGAAATTCAACAAAGTTAATGAAGCTTTCACAACCATGAGAGAAAAAAAGAACAAAAAGAAAAGAAAAGGAAAGAAAAACCGTCTTTCAAACTTACTGGAACGCCATCAACAACACAGCGATCACCAACATCAAATGGATGCATCACAAATACAAATATGATAGATTCAAATATGGTCTTGCAGGTGCTCCCAAACATAAAAGCTGCCGCTACAAGCTGTGATGAGAGGAAAACAAGTACTTTTGTTGTTGCGATTTCCATCATAAGAAGCCAAATAATAATGGTCAGAATAACCAGGATCCCTGTCACAAGTTTGCCCAATTGTTTAACAGCTGTTTTGGTGTCATTTAAGGAATGTGCAAGCGCTTTACGGCCATTGTAAACCTTCACCTGCATAAAAAATTCATATTAAGAAAAAAGGAAGATCCGTAAATTGAATATATACTGGTTTTATTGAGCACAAAGAGAACTGGTGCAGTCCTTGTAAATGATCAAGTAAAGCAAGATTAAGAAATGCTGATTATTTATTCTGTTGAAAACGAAGTGTGTCTTGCTTGCAAGTTCAAGACTAACTATTATACTAACTAGGAGCAAAAAGCCAATCATCTCTTTTTCTGAATGATTGCCGAAAAAACAAAAAGTGTATAGAGGTGGATCATTCACGTTGGGGAAACTAAGAATTTCGTTAAAGCCATTCCAGCCAAATAAATAACAAGTCCACCTGATTTAGTCATCTACCACATATTCACATTATGCTTCCCTAATTAACACAGTACAAAACATGATTTCGACATTGGCATATTGTGACACAAGATAGATAGAGGGAATCAGCATCCAAGATCAAAAGGCAATAACACAAAAGATTACGATACACGGGTTTTATTTGAATAAAAATATGTAAACAAATGAAAATGTTATACCACCCAGTTTGTTAGAGCTTTTCTGTCAATTCGTCCAGTCTCAGATCCTTCAAATAGTGGAAACACAAGATCCACCTCTTCCTTAATCATGAACCTTGACAGGTCCTCCTCATCAATGTATCTGGTCATAAGAGAGAATGATGAGAGAAAGACCAGAAAAAGGGGAAACTAAAACTGGAGCATCAAATTCACCCTTGAAACATTGATTTCTCACTTGCAACCAGGCTTGGCAACATTCCTGAAAATGTGATAGGCAGCAGCAGTCGCTTCCATCTCATTTGTGATCTCCTTGTCAGATTGCTCACCTTCTCTATCAGCAAAACTTTCATCCAATGTATTGGAGATTGTGGACAGTCCTGAACTTGTTACCGCATCAACCAAAACCTTCATCGTCCAAGCAGAAACCTTTCCTTGTTTCATTTTATGAACCTTAGCCATATCAATCACCTTTTTCTCCTTCGTTACTTTTCCCTTTTTGGTACTTCTGAAACTTAACTGGCCCATGCTAGGAGATCTCCCAACTCTCTCAGCCTCCTCTATAAGTGGAGGCCCTGAAAGGGTTAGCAGAACATACTGATGAAAGACAGATTCTTGAATTCTATCAAAGAATTTATTAACATGGAAATTAGATGCTAAAATCTTTAGCGATAAAGTCTTCAAGAACCACAGAAAAGATCCAATGAGAAGCGACATAAGAGTCACTGTTATGCAATCTAAAATCTTTGTGGCTGTTTTAGATCGTTCAACTCCACGATTGAATAAAAATGCCCATGCAAGAAGAATCAAACCTATCCAAATAAACACTTGAACACTCTTCTTCAAACCATGGACAAAATAAAGTACCTTCTTTCTCAGCAAAAAATTCGTCTCAATCAAGAAAACAATAAAATGCATAAACCAATTCGTAACCAACATGCCACTAAATATCACCATGACAAGAACACACCATTTCCAAAACTCCAAGCCCCAAATCTTAGTCTTTTCCAATTTTTCAACAGTCAAGCTAGCAATCAAACATCCCAAAATACAAAAAAATGCAACCCACTCAATCACAGCCTTAGCTCCAACTCTCCTACGCTTCTGTTTACTCAATTCAACTTTCTTCCAAACCTCTTCCTCATACTCATCATCTGCTGGTCCTCCAGGAGATGCCATCAATGGTGTTTTAGGTGTAATAATACTAGAAGCAGACTTGTTATTAGGTGACCCCTTATTAAGTGAAGTCCTTTGAGGAGAAGCCAAGGCAATCTGTTCTTGCAAAGTTGAAACATTCTCTTCAAACACAGTAGAATCAATAGCATATGGCTGTTCCCCAAATCGGGACTTAGGCTTTGAGTACACTGACCTTGCAAGTGACCTCCTTCTAGTAAGGTTTTCATTGGCGGTAGGGATTTTGGGCGGCTTTCTCGGGCTCTGGCTAGGCCGCGAAATCTCTGGTGAAGGGGAGCTGAATGGCACTGATTTTGCGAACCCACCATTACTTGATTCCCTAAAAGGTGAGTTTGGTCTGCTTTGTCTAGGAGTAACAATTTCCGGGTCCTTTGAAGCAGACACTTTGGGGGTTTTACTGTCCACATTGGCATTTGAGGTTTCTTCACTTGAGATCGCTATTAATACATCTACACCATTACTGACTCTCTTTTCTGACATGCTTATTTCGCCTCGAAATCCCTCTTTAACATCCATCAACACCCTAAAACTGCACAAATTAATTTCCCTAGCTCATCAAAGATGCATAAATTAAATCAAGAGTCCAACTTTAAGCAACAAAAAGAAGGGGGAAAAAAAAGAGGATATCTTTATGCAAACAACTTTCCAAACAAATGACTCAGCTCCTAGCCAAGGACAGGGGACCCTGAATCAGACTAACCAAGCACTTCAAGCAGAAATGTAAATTTATCAAATCTTTATTCATATTTTAAAGATTCTGCCACTAAATAGCCCCCAAACTTTCCTTCAAAAGTTCGAGAAATCCCTCATTCGAAAAGAAAAGGACTTGGCGCCAAAGAAAGCGAAACAAGAAAACAAAACAAGAGCCTACAGAAACCTTACCTTAAAAAACCAGCTACTTGCCTGGAAATTTAGCCGTTCAGGGATAACCAGCGAAGAGAAAATAGGGGGATGACAACATACTGAAGGAGCAAGTGATGTTGATTTGTTATTGGTGCAAAAGACGATACAGGAACTACATGGGGTTCAAAATGGAGGAAAAAAAAATCTTAAATAATAAAACAGACCCACAACACAAGGAGTAAAATAAGAAACAAAAAGGAGTTACTCACATCGGAGGAGGGAGTTAAGACAAGACAGAGAGAGATATCAATGATACGAAACATGTGTTAAGCAACAATATCGTCCACCATTGTCATATACAGATCAACTTCAAGAGCAAAACGAAGTTTATGGTAATGAAAGTGGACCTTAAAAGGGGAAGAAAATAGTGGTTGGAGACGTCAGAGGGTGACAGAGGAGTCACATTTCGAGGAAGAAAGAATAGAAGCTAGAGGAGAAAAAAAAAAAAAAAAAACATTACCACAGACATCTAATGCAAATAAAAATCATCATTAATTAATCCAAAGCGAAACAAAGCAGGTGATTACTATCAGTCGGTGTTTTTAGTAATGGTACTTATGTTTTGGACGAAATAACCATCGTCAATACCAATCGATGGAGACGCTAAATAGTCTTATAGTTTGAATTGAAGGATTTGATTAGAGGGTAGTGATGTAATTTTGCATATGGGCAATAAATACTATTTTCTTTACGGTTTTGATTGTGCCGCTTTGAGTGACGACAAAAGCTTGGTGCTGTGTCCGATAGCTGCACTATTCACTCACCTTTTTTTTTTTTTTTTTGGGTCAACCTGCATTATTTTGATTTTTCAATTATAAATTTCTATTAAAATTATTTTATGAAAAATATTAATTTTCTTTTTTTACCATTTCACCTAGAACCTTTGCTGGTGATATGATTTGTATAAGTTACTGTAAAGTTTTACATAAACAATTACAAACTCGTCTCCTTTGTACAAAGAGTGAGCAATTCAACCTTAATACGCATTGTCTTTACCAATTTGACCCGCTCGCATTTACATGTTTTCTCCACAAATAACGCATTACATGTGGGAAAGAGAACGTTCCTAGGATGCAGATATTGCCGTGTCTCTGTCAGTCACTAAGTTCGGTACGCAGCGGAACACGTGAATAACCAAATAATAATTATTCATTCGGACTATTTTACTAACGAGGAGCAAAATAACAAGCAAAAAATGCCAAAAGCGAAAACAAAATATTTCTGCTGGTTAAAGTGATAATAACTACGGCAACCTCCACGGTTATCTTTAGCAGGACAGGACACGAACGATATAAAAAGACTATCCATATTTCAGTTCACAGTTAACTTTCTGTCTTATTTTAAGAACAAAATTTTCCAGTATAAGCTCACTCTTCCTGTCTGCTTACACTAAGCACTAGATTGAGCTGCTGCCGATGTGGATGCGTTCTCTCTTTTCAACTGTTTAATTTATTTTATATATTTCTAAATTAGATAATATGATTAAGGAATTTCGAACAAAGATAAATAAATTGACGACATTATATTGCAATAATGGTAATTAGGTGTTTCATCATCGTATATTTCTTAATTAATTAATAAGAGATAATGACATTTTGAATCCTTTTATTTGTTGAATCTTTGCATCGAATATTAAATTTAGATTTTTAATCTTTAAAATTATAAAAATATTGACCAAATCATGTTTGTACTTAATGATTTTTTCTACAAGAATACTTGTACTGTTTTTTTTTTTTTTTCCTATTGAAAAGTATGTACCACTATTTATTTTTCTATTTGAATGTTTGTATATATTTTTATTTTTTATTGAAAAGTCTATAGTACTATTTTTTTTCTTTTTCTTTTCCGATAGAAACCAAGGCCAAAATCTCGAGAAAAAAAAAACACACACACACACACACACACAAACTAAACAACACAAAACCCGAGAACAAACCTCCTAAGTCATCGTGAAGCAAAGACCCCAAGCCATTAGCCTTTTTTTTTCTTTTCTATTTAAGCATTCATTTTTTCTAGCTTTTTTCATTTATGATAAAACATTGGTCTCAAAACACATTTTATTTTATTTCAAACTCTATAAAAATAAGAACCCAAATTTTTTTTCTTTCAAAAACTTTTAACCTTTTTTTGTATTATCCAAAGACCTATTATCCTCTCTTTCATCTTCTTTCAAAAAAAATAAAAAATTATTCTATCTCGTTATCCATAAACCTCAACTATCAAACTTCCTATGCATGATACCACAAAACATACACAACATATTGGTGGAGAAAATAGTTTGCTTCCTCATATATATATATATATATAATTAAAAAAAAGTTTATGAGATTTCTTTAAAAATTATTATTTATTAGTTTTTCATTTTAGTTTTAATTTTATTTTTTATTAATTTATAGATTTTATTAAAAAATAAATTATCGAGGTACTCATGCATCTTTGGTCATCACCTCTATACAATATAAATGAAGTGTCTAACAAAGAGGCTCATTTCAATGCAATGTGTCCATTTAATGGATAAATCACAAATTTTGATTCGAATTATAATGAAAGTACTCAAGCAGGAAAGAACAATTATAATAAAAACCCTTCAATAAAAAAAAAAAAAAAAAAAAAAAACAACAACAACAACAACAAATAGTAGCACTCAAATAGAAATCAATAAGTACAAGCAATCAAAATGTCATTACCTCATTAGATGGCAAACATTTTGATGTTTCTATAAAACAATACGGATATTTGTAACATTATTTTTTTACTGTTCATTAAATTCTTAAAAGTATTATAATTTTGTGGTTAATATATATGATCTATCAAATTTGTATTGTTTTTTAAGGATAAACAAAGGTTTGACACTCCGAAAATTTATTGAAAACTCCTCATAAATGCCATTATTAATATTTGAAGGCATCTAACACCAAATATATATATATATACATACATACACACACAACATATATAAGATAATTATACAACACCTCGAAAAAGCATTAATATTTAAATAATCTAATCTTACACAACGGTGTGGCATAACTTTCCTCCAAAACTAGCAATAGTACGTGGTTTTTACATTATTTTTTTAAAAATAGTGGTTTTTAAAGTTTCTTTAACATTTAAGACACAAATCATGTTGCTTTTCATGTTGATCTTCTTTAAAAATAAAAATTAAGATAGTATAATCATACTTTATATATTAGTTGTTTGATAATAATCTACTTCAAAATTTATACCTTTATATTCTCAACTAATATATATATATATATATATCAAACATTGATTTTATAATTGGCATTATAAAAGATAAGATAAGCACTTCGTTCTTTTGGATTTATAAAACATTGATATCAAACATTGGTTTTTAAAGTCGTAGTGTTGATAATAATACCTACAAAACAAAGTCCTCTTTTTGGATTTAAGAGGACCCTTCAATGGTTAACTTAGCATACGGTGAAAGGTGAATATGATATTGCATTTCTTTTTCTTTTTGAAAATGGTTCCCCATCCATATAGATATGGCTCTGAAGAGACCTAATAGTGTTAATTGTGTATGATGCCTTAGTAGGTTTGTGGAGAGTATTTTTTTTTATGTTAGATAGAGAAGATATATAATGATTTGTCTCTTTTGTGGTTTTTTTTACTTAGCTTCGTAGTAGGCAATGTTCTCATTGCCAATTGAGTGTTGTATGATCTATCTTTGCCCAAGTTTCAACCTTCTCTCCTATTTTTGTGTTTGAGGTATTTTCATTTTATAATGGTTGCATGATCGAGATTGCATAGAACGGAGGGCATATCTATCTTTTCTAATAAAGATGGTTTGGTATTACTTTTATTGTGCAACAACCATTGACATGTATGGTGATCTTCCTAGGAGAATGCTCCCTTCTAATGTAAGGCATGTTCTTAGCTTGTGGAGTGATGTTTTTTATTTAATACTTATCTCATCAATTTTCTTTTGATGGCATTTAGGACATGAAGATATATAGTGGTAAGGGTTAGTGAATCCTATTTCTAGAAGCCTTTTGTTATTCAAGATTCTGAGTGGTTGTTCTAGTGGTAGTGGAGAATCTCTATTAATCTATATAGACAACTCGTCGAGCGTATTATTTTTTAGTATACTAGTATTCTTCTTGAGATTTGAGCAAATAGGTCTTGTGGAAGACTCAATCTTCATTTAGGTGATGTTTTCATAGATTTTTTTACAAAACTATTAGGGTACATTGTTTGCTATATGGGGAAGTCTTGAGCAAAAGTGTTGTTGTGTGACATCTTTCTCCTTAAGTGCAATCCTTGTCGAGGGTTTGAAGGAATTTTGCATTAGTTATTTCACTGGGAGGCTTGTTGTAGATTTGCATCCTTTTCTTGATTATTATGAGGCAAATTTTGAACGTTTGGATTTTTAAGAGATCTTTTGACGTCTCCATAAGTCTATCCTTTTCTTACATGTCTCGTTTGAATTGGAGAGTTATCGAAGAGTGGCGACCCTCATTAAATGCTTCGCAAGTTATTATGATAAACTTGCCATGTGCAAAGTTTAATCAGCCTTTGTATAAGGGTTTTTTAAAATACAAGGTGGTTTGGCTTCGTTAGACCTTGAATCCTATTTGCCTCTTGATCTT